AGGACTTGGCATATAAAAGAAATTACAAGATTTATTTTCAAGAGGAAGACTGAGGCCTGACGCAAATTGTTAGCAAAACAGGGAGAAAATAGATACGATAACGGGTCAAATGTTGATTACAGCAATTAGAGAAGTTGTGGAGAGCCATGATCGCCCACATTCTGAAATGAGCCTGCAAGCCGAGTTCAAATCCCGACAGAGACAGTCACACTCACTTCGCACGTTTTTTTAGCGCATCAATCTCCTTCCCAGCTATTCGTAAAATGGTAGAGTAGACTGGACTCTTTAGCCTTAGTAGAAAAAGATCAACTTTGTATTAAAAAGAAGGCAACGAATAAATTGATACTTTCCCTTTCCCTTAAAGACATGGTAATTCGCAGATATTAAGAGAAATAGAATCTCAGAAGTGCCATGATCGCACATTATAGTAAGATCTGTTCTTTCGTCCATGACAGTTAACAAGTCAGGCGAAAAGAGAAAGACATATTTATACAATTTTCTAATTGAAATTATTTTAAACCAGATAAACATATTTAAAACTTTAATTTCCACATTGTTAGAATATTGTTGCCTGGCTGGACTGGCCTGTTTTTGGAGGAAAAAAAAGAAGATAAATTGCCATTTCCTGAAAGTAAACGACTCTAAGGACGTGGTAGTGATTTTTCATGAGCGCTGTTAAATTTGGTTTCGATCAGATTCACTGCAGTACAGACTTAGCTAAACGACAAATCAACACAATAAATATACAAGAGAAAACAACATATTGTACGCTATTAAACATTTACTATGGTTTGAAAACAACGTTAAATACTAGTTACTTTATACCACAAACGCGATTGAATGATATTTTCCAGATTTGAAAACGTATATATATGTCGACAGCAGGCAATGTAAGTTTTGTAATGACGTTTAAGTACGCCCATAGCAGCAGAAGTGGTGATTACTTATATACATGGTACCCAGTAAAAAAAGCAGTAAATTCAGAAAGAAATTTATTTAGCGATCATTCATGCACAAACTGAACAACCATCGTAGATGGAAATGTTTGCCTGAATGTTCAACACAAAGCGCGGTAACCAGGAGGCAATAGCTTTGTGGATAGTATCAAGGGGAATTTCATTCCAAGTTCCACTTCAATAAATCAATATCGACGGTTTTGCGAGTGAGTTAAGACTATACTCCAGATAGAGGGCATCACGATGTGGTGTAATAGTTAGAAAGCTTGTCTTGCTAGATCAATTACGACTGAGTAGTGAATTCGATCCTCATTGGGTGCCACATACTTTCGGCCTTGTGCCCCATCTAAGCCGGGCTTAGAAAATCACTATACTCCAGATACAATAATCCATAACGTTCAAATCTGGGGTTTTCGAGAGCCACTGAGATGGACCAATCAGAGCTGGTGTATTTTCTCGAAGAATAAATTTGTCGCCTTTTATTTTTTTTACTGGACACTTTGTAGTTTGCATTTTCTTGCGTAAGTTTCTGGCCGCTAAAACATGTTCGTCAGCCATCGCTTAGTCATTCATTCAAATGAATGCAACTCACTAACTTTCCAGGTCAGGCTAACCTTCTGAGCAAGTCACGTTACGTAGGTGTATTGAAAAGGTTTGATTTGATTACAAAAAATAAAATAAAACAGGTTAATAATCAAATGTGTAGGTTCTTTGAATCCAGACACAGAACAAGTCACTTTTAATTTCTTTTTAACGTTATGGCCGTTCAGTACGGTTTGCGTGATTAACGGAGAATGTCAGTATCTGCCCGCATTGCTCTGTGATACAAGATAGGGTGGCAACAAAATGAGAGACGGTAATCAGAAACAATGATCGTTATTACCTCAAAATTAGCCTGTGAACAAAAAAATAACTAACTAAATAAATAAATAAAAAGAACCTCGTACTAAAAAGCATCTCCATGGGCTGCTAAGTATGGTGTGCGTGAGGATCGTGCATTTATCCATAACTAGCAGGCTTTGCCCGCTCGTTATCTGGTAAGTTTTCTAGGAAAAATTAGTTGTTTCTCTATGGGATTAATGCACACTATTTATGAAATGTTGAAGGGTTTGTAGATGTAGCCGTAGGGTTTATGCTAACAGTTTTTTTTCTCGTACTTCTCGATAGTGGAACTCTCTTCCGACTCCAGGCTTTCCAACCAACTTTAATCTGCAGAAATCTGAACGTAACGTCAATCGCTATCTACTGTCCTTCTGATTGCTCTTTTCTCTTTCTACTCATTACTAATATTTCTGTTACTAATTCCTCCACACCCTGTAGCCCTTTGTGGCTTTGTCGCATTACTGCCATGCTTGGGGTGATACCGGTTAAGAAAAAGAATATATTTTTTGAGATAATAACGGTTTGCTGATACAAGCTTTACTAATTAACCCATAGATGGGGGGAGAAGAGTTGGATTCATATCTTTCGCAGGAATATTTGCGCGTAAGTGAATATAACGAACCCAAAGGGAATTGAAACTCGTTTAACAATTCCGTAAGTGAAGATAACGAAACCGACTGGAATTGAAACTTGGCTCTCGGATTCGCAATTTCTAGTCGTTATCGATTACACCACCCGCCCACCCAAGCTTACAGCACCTGGTATTCCATAAAAGTTTGGTGTTATGCTTTCACGACTTTAATATGGACGTTATACACGGCACCAAACTCATTCAAAATTATTTAAACTGTCAGCTGTATACAACCGCTTTCTGAAATCAATGGTTAAAATGGCTTTGAGGACCTACAGAATAATAAAGAAAGGATTACCAAAAAAAAAAAAAAAAAACCACATCAACTGAAGACTTCCATCATCGACAACAACCAACTTGAAAGAAAAATAGTGACATAAACAAGATGTTGGTGTTCCACACCACTTCAAACAGAAGGTTAGGAAGGAAACTCCCATAAATTCTAGAAAGAGCAATAACAATGAGCTTGAGAAAACTTATTTCCCCCCCAAAATTGTTTTAATAGAAATATTTTTATATGTTTTAAGCGAAATTAGCATTGAATTCTCGCTCAATGAATGCCGAGTATTTCCTTATAAGGAAACAACTAATGTCAGCATTATTATTAGTGATTAGAACAGATACTGCACTTTGATCCTAGCCAAAAGGCCAGAGAGTGACGATATTCAGTCAACCACCCCCCGAGGGCGTCATGTGGCACAAGGCCTTTTTAACGTGGGATCTCCGAGCCCGTGAGCTCGGCCAAAAATATGCCCATTGAACCCGTATAAACGGGTTCAGGGCCAGTTTACCTCCCCGAAAGAGAATCCGCCCTTCGGCGTAGCCTCTTTCGGGTTCCTCCCTGCCCGAAGGCAGAGAGTTCAACCGATCAGCCGGTGCTCGTTCGACTGACTGACCAGAGAGTGACGTAAAGCGTAACACGTTGCTTGGTCAATAAATATCAAATGTTTGCTGATATGGAAACGGTAAAATTAGCATTATTATTCAATGTTCAAGACTTTTATATCATTTTGTATTTGCTTTCCAGACCGCTTCATGTCAGTGCTGGAGAATTTTCACATCTCAAAATTCTGATGGATCAATTTATCTCGTGTTTAATTAAGCAAATGCCCTTTCTGATAAGACAGTAATGACAAGATCTAATCTTCTGGCCTTAGATGAGACATTTAAATTTAAAAATGTAACTGAATTTACTTTTTCTTCTGTTATCTATGACAGCTTTGCATCCGGGATTATACGAATATCTTGTACAATTAAATCGCAGTTATTTGCATAATTCTCAGTCGATCAATTCTTGTCCAGTCATATCTACTTTTGCACCGCAGAAGATTTTTAGGGAACTGATTTTCCTTACTAGTATTTGCTGATGGGTAGTGTTGGGAGTGAAGCATCATGAAGGATTAAGGGTCCCATTTAGAAGTGGACAGTGAAAAATAAAAATAAAAAAAGAGTGAAATGAACAAATTCACAAAGAACCTTTTCCGGAAGATTAGCTTGCATTGTTTAACGGCTAGGTTTAAAGGGTAAAGAAATAACAGTCAGCCATTACATCACAAGGGATCTTGGGGAAAAAAGAGGAATTATAATTTGTTGCCTAGCAACAGAGGATGTTAATCTTTTCACACCCTCTTTCTTTCTATGTGTTTAATTCTAGAATAACATTTACTCTTGTTTGCATATTTGTTTCAGATTACATCGTCTATGTCACCATTAGGAAAGAAAAAAAAATAGTGGTAAAATAGCGGAAGTTGGGTAAATATTTTGCGAGAATAATGATGAGAATAGACAAAAGAGGAGCTGATTTTTTTGTCTTTTTCTTCTTCTTAGCTGCTTATGTTTCTTTATCTTATTTTTTTTTGCATCTGACTTTTTCTGTCTTTCTTTTTACATACATTTTCTTTTGTCAATTCTCTTGGCGTTTTCATAAAATTGCTCTTTTCTTTTACATACACTTTCTTTCACTTTCTTTTCCTTCATGTCTCCATTCTCTCTTTCCCTTGTCTCTTTCTTTCTTTTTTTCTTTCTTTCTTTTTTTTCTTCTGATTTTTCTTCGTTTTTGAAAAAGAAAGAAAGAAAAAAAAAACTCCTTTCAACCTTATCTTCTTACTTTTTCTTCTGTCTCTATAAATTACCATCTCTCACTTCTGTACCAATTTCCCCTTATTTTTCCTTTTCAGTTTCTCTCTGACTTTTCAGTGCTTGTTTTCTACATTTTAATTTCCGTTTATAATTGTATTTTCCTTCGTTTTCTCTATCGCATTCCCTAAAACATTTTCCGCTCTCATTACACAAGCCACGCTAAATTTTAAGCGTTTTCCCCTTATTGTAACACAAATCGTTGACATTAGATCTCTGCACTCTCTCTTTGCATAATTTTTGGGCCTTCTTCACGAGAGAGTTCTACTTGTAAAACAATGGAGCCTTAAGCAAAAATGCCGTCTCAGCAAAACTCACTCTATTAATAACTAGTAACATTGTTTAGGGAGCTTAACAAAAGCGGGTGTTGAGATTTTTGCTTATTAGCTTTTCTTTCACACTAATCGTTTCTTTTTTTTCTGTTTTTTTTTTTTCGTCCTTGTCTTTCGAGAGAATGAGATTGGGAAAAGAAAATATGTGTCCCGTCCATGATTTAAAAAAAAATGCAATGCGATATAAATAAACAGGAAAAGGAGATGGAAAAGAAAGAGTAGAGAACAAAAGAAGAAAAAAAAATTAGAAAGAGAAAAAAAAAGAACTGAAAAAAAATGAAAGAAGGAAAGAAAAAAGAAAGGAAAAGAAAAAATTGAGACGAAAAGAATTGAGGAAAAAAGAATCTGAAATACGATGAGATAAATATGATACATTGATACATGAAATATAATAAAAGAAATATTATGAAAGAAAAGATAAGATCTAAAGAGTTGAAGGGAAAATATAGAGAAAGAGCGAAAAAAAAGCATGTAATAAAATTTATAAGAAAAAAGATGGGCAATGAAAATATGAGGAAAAATTGAAGGGAAACAAGCAGGGTGGTGAAAAGTTGTAAAGTTAGAAAGAAAGTAGAGAAAGAAACAGATAGAGTGAATAGTAAAGGATAGGGGGAAAACATTTGAAAAAGAAAGAAAGAACTGAAAAGTAACAAAGGAAGTATGGAAGTGAAAAGGAAGGAAAGAGCTGAATGTGAAGGAATTGTAAAGGAAGGAAGTGAGAATGAAGGAATGGAAAGGAATGAAATATCTAAAAAGAAAGGAAGGATAGACGTGGCTGAAAATGAAGTTTATTAGCAAGAAAGAAGGATAGAATAGAATAGAATAGAATAGAATAGAATAGAATAGAATAGAATAGAAAAGAAAGAAAGAAAGAAAGAAAGAAAGAAAGAAAGAAAGAAAGGAACTATGAAGAGACGATAAAGAAACTGAAGAGAAAGAAAGGAAGTGGGAGTGACAGCAAAAGAGAAAATCAAGGTGGGGAAAAAAACGTAGTGGCGAATGAAATAAGGAAAAAGTGCCAAAAAAAAAAAAAAAAAAAACAAACGCAGAAGAGAAAGAAAGAAAACATAAATCAGAAAGAAAAAAAGGGCCAAGAAAGGAAGTAAAAAGAATGAATTAAAATTTGAATGAATGAATGACGTTTAAATGTAGTCAACAGACATTCGTGATTTGGAAACGGAGAAATAAAATAAAAAAAACTATAAACAAAATCGATATGTTCGATGGCTTTCTAAAAAAAAAGTTATTGATCCGATAAGCTTAATTTCCTGAAGAAGTCAGTATTGTTGTGTTTACTCATTGATTTTGGAAACTGGGTTGGACCGACAACTTTTCGGTACCCTTTCGTAAGAAAGTAAAACGAAATAAATTACAATATAAACATGGCGTGAAACAAAGGTTAAGACTGGATTATAGGAAAAAAAAATAATCCGTAAAAAATAGGGGTAGTCGTGAATGACAATAATGAGTGAAGAAAAAAAGACCAAAATAAATGGCTGGGTATGCCGTGCATGTCATGTGTAGTTAAAATCATATGCTTATGTACTAAATCAAAGTGCCGTATAAATTATAAGTATAAAGAATAAGCGGGAATTTCTTTTCTTGCTGGAACACAATAATAGTTCCGGGAATTTGATACGAATAAATGTTTCATTTATAAAATAACTGGGGATTTCTTTTGTTGCTGGAACATAATAATCGTTCCGGGAATTTGATAAGAATAACTGTTTCACTTATAAAATAAGCGCGGGAATAAATGTTTCATTTATAAAATAAGCGGGGATTTCTTTTCTTGCTGGAATGCAATAATCGTTCCGGGAATTTGAAAAATAATAAGTGTACCGTACGGAAGAAACAACATTTTAGTGAGGTTGCTTCATTGACGGATTGATTTTCTTTGCAGCTTATTAACCCTTCGTGAGCTGTTAGACTGAAACATATTTTGAAAACTGAAAACATATTTGGGATTGTAATAACACTTCTTTTCTTTTTGTGAGTAAATATTGCATTAACAAATTTTTTTTTTAGAATAATAATGATTTTCCAGATAGAAGTCCTACTATTTAACCCATGGCTGGAGGAGATGATGGAGTCATACCTTTACGGCGAATGTTCTGGATACGCTGAGCCAAGTTTTGTCCGTTGGCATTGCTTTCTTTCTGTGTCTGTCCAAGATTCAAACACCGGTCTTTTTACTTTTCTTTGTAAAATACGAATGAATATAAGGGCATATGAAACAGAAAACAGATGTGTAGTAGAGATAAAAATTAATATCAGAGAGAGAGAAAAAGAGAGAGGGAGAGAGAAAGAGAGAGAGAAAGAGAGAGAGAGAGGGAGAAAGAGAGAGAGAGAGAGAGAGAAAGAGAAAGAGAATGATTTTGACGATGAGTTCCAACAGAAATTGAGTTCGAATTTCTTGATGTTCATATAGCACTAATATCTTTATAAAAGGGATGAACCCACATGTCCCTGTGCTCTTTCCTTCACCAGTTAACGGGATACGTATAACCTTCTTACAAAAATACCATGATAGTTTCCAGTGAAAAAAAAATCGTTTAGTGAGTACTTAAGCAAACCACTACACAATATCTACAATCAGAGGGAACACTAAAGTGCAGTTACTAACATTGTCAACCTTAGCATGGACCAGTAATAGATAATAGTAATTAAGAGTGAGTCATCACCTGTATAATCCGTTAGACAGGCTTTAAATTTTTGATCTAAATAAGCAACTCCAATTTATGTTACCCGGTCACAGCGTCATAACTCCGCGACCCTTAAAATGAAACAGTGAAATCTTAAGCTTCTCGTAATAAAAACGAAATGGATCGAATTTGCGTGTTGACATCCAAGCTGAGAATTACACAAGTTACGCAGTCTTTTTAGGCGCAATTATTTCTTTTTAGCTATAATACTTAAAATTTTCTCTGGCCAATTACAATTGCTTTTATTTTTCCCCATTTGCTTTTCGTGCTAGTGAATCATAAGAAACATTTAGACATTAAGGCGTTTGTCAGTCACAAACGGGGAAAGGTTCAAGAAAATTGAACAAAGCAAGTGTAGTTACCCTTTTTTGAGCAGTACTTTTCGTGAGCAAATTTGCAAATACTCAAAGGGGACGAATTGGCAGCAAACGACAGATTCTAGGAGTTAGGGTACAATTCTTTTTTTTCATGGGAGCTTTTCATATATATCAGTATCTTTATTTCAGTCTACTTTATCTATTTTTTAATCAATTCCCCGAAAGCAAGGCGATAATGCCACTAAGACGTAAGGGGGCTACTGGGAGTGAGAGACAACGAGAGATCTTTAGAAGGAACTGGAAACCTCATCGCAAACATGAAACGAGGGATAAACCACTACTCCTGTTTAAAGACGGAAGAGGAGTCTATCTATCTATCTATCTATCTATCTATCTATCTATCTATCTATGTATCTATCTATCTATCTATCTATCTATCTATCTATCTATCTATCAAATCGTTTTACTGTGGTGTTGAAAAGTCCTAAGCCTGGGGCCGCTTGAAAACAATATGAATATAGGTTGTCAAGAAAAAAATTCAGCAACACGCAAGAATTCGTTTCCAGTTAATCGGTAACTTCAAAAGAACTGCTCCAATCGTCTATCTCTTTTCCACCGAACGAAGCTACCATCACATTTAACGATCTCCTCTCTTATAGTGTATATAAATCTTCTCTCTCTCTCTCTCTCTCTCTCTCTCTCTCTCTCTCTCTGTGTGAATCATTCACTTTTCCCGCATTTATTGATATAACGACTTTAATTTGAACTCAAATATCTAAAAGGAGCATCCATTTCACCCGAAACTTTTCTTATCTACTAAATTTAGATTGTTAGGGGACAAACGGTTTAATCTGAACGTGATCATGAATAAACTTTAACATTCCCGACAAGTCGAATTCATATTTCTTTGGCTTTAGGAAGCCTGTCTGTGTAAAACAGCTGCTCTACCGTTTCAGCTACTGGAATCAACTGCTGCATTAGTTCAAAAGTATGTATATTCCTTACTTTCACCGAATACCCATCGCCGCCATATTTGCTGCTTTCTCTTTACAAACTCTAGTAGTAGTCGTAGTAATATCAATAAGGAATAAGATTAGATTGTGTTTCCTACAGATAACCGAAATGTATCAATGACACTAGCCACGGATTTTCTTAACCATCTTTAATAACGTCAAGAAAACCGTTATACATCAATGAAACTGTTTTAAATTTAAATTTATACTTACTCTCCTTGATGTCAGTTTAAATTAACGTATCACTTTTTTTCCATATATTTAAACTTTAATAATCATATAATAATTGTCTTTCCGTTCGTGCGACCGTTACGCCCTGTCAATATCTCATAAATAATAGACTATTCCGTTTTGATCGCGTGGAAAAACAAAAGATATATCAGAGACACTATTTGGTTTCAGTGAAAAAAGAAAGAGAGAAAAAAGATAGAAGTATTTAACGTCTCCTGCCAATAGCACGTAAATAATGGACTATTCTGTTTTGACTACGTGAGACAACCAAAGGCATACCAAAGACGCTACTTGGTTTTAGTGAGAAAATGAAAGAGAGAAGGGAATATAGAAGTGTTTAACGGCTGTTTCAGTGAAAATGGAAAAAGTTGTCAATTTCAAATCTTTTCATTTGTACCCACTTCTTAAAATAACGACCATTATTCATATTTACGATTGTTAATGCAATATTTTGTTAAAGTTGCTAAGCTGAAATATTTAGCGATGTGATAGGGGAATTTCTACGGATATTTTGTTGTCGAAGAACTCACCATGAGCTTATACAATCATTAACTTAGGAATTAAGATTCATCATGAATTTAAAATAGGAAAACCATGAATTTTTCACGGCTTAGAGATAGTAAACTATAATTTTGTTAAATGAAAGTTCACTGAAATATCTTGGAAATTATACAAGCTGAAATCAAGAAAATACAAACTTAAACAAGATATTCACACTATATGGGGGTAAAGAAAAAAAAAACAGAAAACAAAAAAAACGTCAGTCTAAACTTACGTCAGTAGGATTTGTCTATATTAGTAGCATTTACCGACCGGCAAAAAATTGTTAGCTGAGGTACGTTCCGAATAATAAAAGGAATAGTCTGTCCGTTCTCATTTATTTTATTAATTTTTTTTTTGTTTTTGTTTTGATGACAAGGTAAATAGAATGAGAAAATCAGGCCACTTAACTAGTCGTATAAATTCTACATTCCAAACTCGAGTAGGTCGTCGTCTGTGATTCAAAGACGGACGGACGGACGGACGTTTTCTTGTCAGCCGCTGACGTGGAGGCACACCCAAGCAAAAAGTAGCAACAACAACGGGAGAAGAACCATGAACGATTCTCATTCTCTCCTCCGCTACTCAATCAGTCGCTCACTATCCCGATTATTCTTTGTGTCTTTTTTTTTTTTCGATTTTTTTTGTCTTTTTGTGCTTTTTTCTCCTTTCTGTAACAGGACAAACATTCTTTGTTTTACTATTTCCCATCTCTTACACTTCTAAGATTTCCGTTGTTTTATAAACAGACTCACACAAGTTCAATAGTTGCCTTGTCAACGTTTGATATTGCCTATTTGTTAGTCGGTATTCATCATAAGCATTAAAGCTTAGCTGTCAACTCCTGAGTTAAGTTAATTTTTAATAGAATACAATTTAAAAAAAATGCTTTTGTACAAACGAAATAGATGTGCGTTTGGAATAACCAACAGTGGAATTAGCTGGTCGAATTTAAATTCCGGGTAAGTTTGTTGCGTTAATTTTAGAGCTGGAAACTTGGGGAATGGCATGGATCTGTCTCCTTTCCCACCAACTATAGGTTAAATAACAGATTAAAGTCGGCTCTCTAGCTTTGATTGACAATCTAAGAGAAAGAAAACTCTGAATTTCAAATTGTGGTGAAGGCTACGCTGGGTGAATTGGACTACATTTGAAAGTCGAGCGCTAATAAATTTTGAATTCATTTTCTTCTCATTAGTAGCCTAAGTTTACCCAGCTTGTTTTAAATGGTAATGGTGAGATTGGCCGTTTTCATACAGGAAACATTCGGCATTCACTGGCCAAACAGCATTACTGTCAGTTGAAATTTATAAATTCTTTCCCTTTTAAAACAGTTTTCCTGAAATTAGACTTTTCTATAGTTTTTAAACAACAAATTTCACTATTGTTTTTCTCGAACGATCATATCTGTTCGAGGCACACCTTAACGTAAACAAATGATATCTTATATTATGAAATAGACTAAGTCCGACAAATATTTTAAATTGACAAGTAACTTAACTATATTCAAATCCTTTTGAATGGATTCCTATATTAAAAACATTTCCAGTGCATTCCCACGGCAATGGTAATAGTGATATTAACCGTTTCCATTCAGGAAACATTTGACACCGACCTAACAACGTTACTGTCTGTTGAAATTTATAATATCAAAAAACAAGATAGCAGGAAAAATAGCTAATTTCAGACTTGAAGAAGCGAAGATTTAATTAACGAATAAAATGTCAGAGTTCAGGTGGAGACTTTTGGGTGTATAGAGTAGACTTTAGAAGAGACTAGAAACCCAATCCTAAATGGAAACAAGGGATAGACCACTACTCCTGTTCAAAAGACCGAGGGGATATGAACCTGGCGATAGGCAAACCTATCTACACCATACATGACATCCATATTAAAGTCTCGAATCGTGAATATATGAACTTAGCTGTTTCCATACAGGAAGCATTCGGCCTTCATTGGCCGAAGAGTTAGCGTTACTGCTGGCAGAAATTTAGAAATTCTTTCTTTTAAAAATGTTTTCAGAAATTAGACATTACTATAGTCAATATATTCTGAATGGATTCCTATATTAAAATCATTTCCAATGCATTCCTATAGTAATGATAATGATGAGATTGACCGTTTCCATACAGGAAACATTCGACCTTCATTGACCGAACAATTAGTATATTGTCGATTGAAAATTATAAATTCCTTCTCTTCAAACTTTTTTCAGAAATTAGACTATCCTATAGCCAATTCATTTTTAACGTATTCCTATATTAAAGTAATTTTCAATGCATTGCTATAGCTATGGTAATGGTGAGATTGACCGTTTCCATACAGGAAACAATTGACACCGACCTAACAGTTGATGTTACTGTCTATTGAAATTTATATCACAAAACAAGTTTTCTTTTTCATTAGTGTTATCAGTTTTATTTTAGTATTGATGGCAGTTTACATCCTAACCTTTTGTTTAAGGTAATGTGGAAATTAAACATTTATAGATTATGTAAAACTAGATCAAAATGTCTCCAATAGTAAAATTAAAAATTTAGTAGCGTTGGTCTTTCAAAAGTCGTAAAATCTAGCAGCAGTGAGAGAAGTTTAAGGTTATTGAAGAAGAAGAAGAAGAAGAA